CTAGTCCATAACTTGTATTCGTCATTACATTTCTAATTTAAGAGATGTACAGACTCACATCTTCTTAAAAACAAACATTTCATTCAATTCCAGGTAGTTTAACTACTTATCTTTCGTATGTGTATGTGCTGTTATCGTTCTTTGTATCAGAAACATGTTGAAATACCTTGTGCTGACAATTCTATATTGTGCCAAAATATAATATTGAACAAAGTCATTAATTTTGATGATGATAATAATAATAACGCGTTTAAATTTTCCATGTTGAGAGATGAACAAATTCTATAAGTGATGGTTTACGGTGCATTATGTGCATGAGTTCAAGAACCTGGTGAAATATCGAATTTCTAAAGTTTAGTCGATCATTTTAATTGTTGTTATTCGCGTAGAAATTGATTTCAAGTTTCTAATTGTTTCTAATTAGCGTTCTGACAAATAACTACGATTTTAATTTTCTCACGTGAATCAGTTCAGCGGATTTGTGTTCAATAAATAGAGCGAGACACTAAATGACAGCTGCAGTAATCAAAGTTTCACCTTGACAATATTGCACTGACGACAAGTCAGAAAATACCTCACATTCCATAGATTTATGAAATGTCATATGAGAGTGAATAAACTCAATGCAATAAATTGTGAGATGAATTATGATATAGATGATAACACATTATTGGATCATTATGTTTCAGTGCAGTCGCTTTTTCTCCTCTCGATTGTTTCTCACCAAGTGTTTATCTGAAATTTCAGCAATAATAAGTCAGTGGTTGTGGTGCTTCATGATGATAAATAAACTCAAACAGAAATCCAAGTCTGGAATTCGTCTATGTATGTGCATCTTCGTTGGATTGGTTTATACGATATCAGGAATTTGCATTGTTCTGTTATCATTCTTCAATGTACGTCCAGCTCGTAAACTCCTTTGTAAGATTATTGAGAAATGAAAGTCAAACAATGGAGATGGTAATCCGTACCTTGTACATTGTTCATTTATATTATTTGAAAAATCAAGTGACTTAGTTGAATCACTTGCTATAACAGATATCGACTTTTTTGGTTGGGAAGTATTAGCCAATAAACCAGTTACATAAATCTTGGTAGTCAAACATTTAGTAGAGTTTGATCATACCGTTCACTCTAAACTATAGTCGTGTATAGTGCCTACACAACAATCCTCATTTCTGTCTCAGTTGTCAAGTTCGACTTCTGCACTGCAACAAATCACCTGGTAGGAGAGAACCGTAACTACTTCAGACCAGTTGTGAGAAACACTACAATCACTGAAATTGATGGTCAAGAAACCGTCCAAAACATTTGACAATGTTTGCTTTCTTTTGTACATCTTGATTTATGAGATTACCATATTTTTCAAAACAACAAATTAATCACTGTTCCGTGCTTATATAATGTACTTAAACATGTATATGAGTTATAGTAATAGTTATTTGCTGACAGAGTTTATGGTATTGCTTTGAAGATAAAGTTTTGTGACACTTTGTTGTAAATAAGTACTCTCTTCAGCTGTTCTCCAACAACAATTATAACTAGTTCTACGTTAGTAGTGTGTTTCGGTTATGTTCGAACGAAATTACGTTGTTGTATAGCCTCATAGACCTATTCAGGAAAATAAAATAATGCCTTGTATCACTATTAGTTGGTGAATAGAAAATTACGCTCTCACATTTTACACAGGGAAGTAAACTCATAACTCGTCTTAAAGTCACATTATCAGAAGGGGTTTGTGGAGATTTTTAGAAATTTTCACAGCGCAACTTCGTGGATTGGTTGAAGTTAGACATTAACACCGTTGGATGCCGGCTCAGTGGTCTAATGGTTAAGTGCTCGCGCGCGAAGCCAGTAGGTCCCGGGTTCGAGCCCCGCGTGGTGCGGGATCGTGGATGCGTACTGCTGAGGAGTCCCATACCAGGACGAAACGGCCGTCCAGTGCTTCCAGGTTTTCAATGGTGGTCTAGCTTCAACTGACTCATGATTTCAATCTGTTAAAGTCACATTGTCAAGAGCTTGTGTGTTTAATTTCTAAGTATCATTTACTCCTTTCAGACAGATCATGATCACAGATTAACATAAAATGCACGAAGTATTTTCATTGAATAGACAGTAGACAATTAAACCATAATTAAAATGGAATTCTCAGTCAGCGATTGTTTCCTCTTATGTGACATTAATTATTTTACAATATTCTTTACTCTAGTAACCAACAAATTATGATTATTGTATTGCAGATGAAAGATACTAATCGACTACATTTCCATTTGACGTTGAGTAATTTTATTTGCCATGCGGTCGCTATTCCATTGAGTTCTTTACTTATCGTTGATAATTTTCGTCTATGGAAATGCTTTCTACTTGCTAGAATTATTGTTTCGCTTCAAATGATCATCGGATCTTTTTCTTGTAAGTTACACAACATTTGGCGAATATTCTGTATTTCAAATGACAATAACAACTAATGTTTATGGATATCAATAATCCAATCTACACTGACATGTATTTTAACTGGTTTTAATTTATGAAGTCGTTTTCCATAATTTCGCCTCACCCAAATTTCTACTAATGACATTTACCAGTATTATGTATTCTTTATTTCTATAGTTTGTTTACCATTAAGCAAACAACACCTGAACATGTTCTAGATGACTGTTCATGTTAGAAGTATACGTATTATTCTATAGGTCTGTATAAATTAAATATTATTTCAGATAGACTTTGTGTATCATTACTTACTTGTTATCATTAACAATAAGTCAAATAACTTAGCGTTTGAATTTATTTCTTTGTATTTCCGTACTTTAGTTGTTTATTTTAATCGAGCTGGTCTACTAGTATTGCAGGCAAAAAACCTGTTTTACATCAAGGAAAACGAACCGGTGAGTGCAGATCATCAATATCAGTGTTTACAATCAGTATATTAAATGAGTTGACATTTCATTTAGTAGATTAATGTTTTCCGTCGAACTCTTTTCAAACACTGAAGATCACAGTGAAAATATTGTAAACCATCGTCCAAACATTTAACAAAATGAAATCCATGAATGTATAACGAATTACTCATTAACATATATGTAACTTTACATAAAATAAACAAAACAGTTTAGAGAGACCAAATCCTGTCGTAAATACGAATATTCAATAAATAAACTGAGATTTCGACCAAACTTAAGTCAATATCACGTAACAACTTGTGAGAATCTAGCCCGGGTGAAGTAACACGAATGCTTCGCCTGAATAAATCGAATTACGTAGTTCTCGTAAACATCTAGCTTAATGATCAAAGTCGTGACATGAAAATATATATTTCAAACATGGACAAGCGTTTCAGATGGGAGAATATTGAATATGCCATTCACAAACTGGAAAACCAAGTCACTTCAGTTTACCTTTAGGAGAGTAAGAAGTTGTGGTGTTGTCGATTTTGAAGCTTTCGTAGTTTTATGCATGCTTATGTAAGCGAGTGTTATCACCTTGATTTCTTCTCCTCATTCCAGTTTCAATTATTATCTGGTGCCATGGGAAGTTTCCAATGTGTGCGTTAAGTTGAAAGACAGAAACATCTAGAAATTCAGTATACATTTACTGATTCGTTTCTATGGAAAAATCTAAACTATCTACACAGTAGGATCAATTTGGAAATGCAAGGCATTTGATTAACATAGGAAAATGCACACCATTGATGTGTTGAAAGAAATACTAGTTAAATTAATACAATTTGGAACAGTTGACTTTCACCCCTATTAAATTCACACACAGATTTACAAACAGGTTTTATAATTCATGACTAAAACATTTCACATTGTCTTCAAGTTTTTCATGTTTCTTCACTCGTGTATTCAACACCATACTCACTTGAACTGAGTAAATAGTGAGGAAACAAAGTTTTCGGAAAAATGACTATGTATTGCCAAAGTGAAAAATAATCAAGGTAAAATCTCCATTCGCTTTAAATGTATAACATCTACAAACAAAGCTATCGTGTTTGTAAAGCCTTAGCTGGTCTACCCGATTATTTTTATGAGTTCTTTTTTACCATAAGACTCTTTTTATTTAAAATAACACCCATGTGAACTTAACTGAGATTATCTCCAAGTGATTAGTATTTAGGTATTTGTAGACTTATAATGCACATCACTGATTTGTTTTACTTCAGGGTTACAAGGAATTCAATCAATGTGCAATCAGCGAATGGTTCGTGATATTGGGATTAATAGAAGTCACCTTGATAACTGGCTTAGAATTAAGAACTTATGAAAACCAGTATGAAGAAATCAATAAAACCGTGTGAATATACGGGGAATAACTTTTCCCCATTTTAAATATTTCTCAAACCAAATTGTACTTATCTGCATATTATTTTACGAGGATTTGTGTTTTCATGTGTGTAAATGAACTAACTCACATGTAGATATTCGTCATGTGTTTGCGTCAGAAGACTTTCATTAATGAAGTTTTGAGAATTTGAGGTTATAATTACTACTTTGTTAGTTTACTATGTTGTTCCCATTAAATTTATTTACAATTTCTTTTCATTATTGTCCGAAATGTAAAACGTTTGTATATTGAATAT